CACTCTGACAGCAGACAGCAGTAAACATCAGGATCCACTCACCAGGTGAGGACTGCCACCCTTACCTTAAAGATACAATTGTTTGTATAATTATTTGTTTTAGTTTCAGAGTGGCTTTGCTTGTTTCAGTTTAGAGCTATTGTTTAAAATTGGTTTAAGTTATTATTATTATTTTTATAATTATTATCATTACTACTACATGGTGGTATTTGTAAGGGAAAAAATATTACAATACAAACACACTGACTCACAGTTACGTAGTCTCATAAACATCTGTCATATAAACACATGTACCAACATCTCCTCGTGGTTATTGTCGACTAAGACCAAAAAGACATTTCCCTAATTTTGTTTCATTTTATTTCATTTTAAGTACACAATATGTTTTTTCTAGTTTCTAGTCTAGTTTTTATTATTTTTATTATATTATTATTATATTTTTCACAATATATTTTTTACTTTAATAACATTGATTGCAACTTGCTGAAAAGATCTAAACTGATGGGTAAGAAGCCTGAGAACCTGTTCCCAGCTGCATAAGAAGAAATCTCACAATTACCTTCATAATGAATAATTATTAATTGAATTAAAATTATTAATAAACAAAACCCTAAGAAGGAAATGTGTATTACAAGGGTTTCAGTGAACAAAATAAAGCAATCATAATCATAAATCATAAAGCAAGCAAAAGATCTGCCCTGATGTAGATAAGCTATAGAGGGGTTCTTCAATATTCACTCAGACTAGATTTAAAAAAGCTCAAAATCACTTTCAGTCAGAAAACAAAACACCTGAGTTTCTGGCTGACAGTATCTGCTAAAGGAGGTCTGCTCTAAGTTGAGGAAGGACCAAAATGCCCCGGGTATGCAGTTCCCCTGCACCAAGCTGCTCTCAGTCACCATTTAGGAATCAGTCCCCGCACTCTGTGCAACAGTTGATCTGAATAACCCTCCAGTCAACTTAGAGGAACTTGACTGACTGAGTGAAAAACACACGGCTACTTTTTGATGTTGCAGGCAAAATGGCACCTAGAGAATGTTTTACTTCCTGTAAGGATCATGTTGTTCAATTACAATGTTGGAACCAGCAGACAGAACTTATGTGTACATAATATTACATCTGTGAAC